AAAAAACAAGAAAAGCAGTTCTGATACATGCACGGTACAACATGGATGAACCTTAAAATCATTTTGCTTAAATGGATTGACCCATGTCACTTTAGTTTTGTGTATTTCACTGTACATAAATTGTATTTCAATAAAATGTAAAAACAAAAAACAAAAAAACACTACACTAAGTGAAATAAGCCAGACACAAAAGGATTATCATATGATTCCACTTATATGAAATATTTAGAAGAGGTAAAATCATAGAAGATTGAGATTACAAGGTGCCCGGTGGAAGAGGAGTTGAGGGCTTAGTCCTTAATGGGTGCAGGGTTTCTATTTGGAGTGATGAAAAGTTTTCCACAACATTGCACAACTTCGTGAATGTACTTAATGTCACTGAACTCTAAACTTAAAAAATGGCTGAAATGACACATTTTATGTTCTGTATTTTTTACCACAATAAAAAAAAAAAATTAAAAGTAAAGAAAACAGCTAGAGCCTATGAAGACAGGAAGAATGCCAGGAAACTTGAAGAGTTGGGAATAGAAAGGGAAGGCTGGAGAGTTCTGAAAGCACATCAACGAGGAATGGCTCCCAAGCTGTGGCTAGCTCTGGTCATGTTTTTCAAATGTGTCTTTGGAATTGGGAAGAAGCTAGAGCCAGGTCTCCTGTCCTAAGGAACAAGCTCAAAGACAGACTTTTCTGCTCACACAGCAAATAAAATCAAATTGCACATGCTGCAACATGAACGAAACCTTGAAAACATTACGCTAAGTAAAGACAGTCGTTGGAACAGAACAAGGGGATACTGTGTGGTTTAAAATTGGAAAAGGTGTGCGTCAGGTCGTATCCTTTCATCATACTTATTCAATCTGTTTGCTGAGCAAATAATCCAAGAAGCTGGACTATATAAAAAACACGGCTTCAGGATTGGAAGAAGATTAACAGTCTGTGATATGCAGATGACACAACCTTGCTTGCTGAAAGCAAGAGGACTTAAAGCACTTACTGTTAAAGATCAAAGACTACAGCTTCAGGATGGATTACACAACATAAAGAAAATAAAAATCCTCACAACTACAATATGCAGCATCATGATAAACAGAGGAAATATTGAAATTGTCAAGGATTTTGTTTTACTTGGATCCACAACCAATGTGCATGGAAGCAGCAGTTGAGAAATGAAACGATGTATTACATTGGACAGATCTGCTGCAAAAGACCTCTTTTTAAAGTGTGAAAAGGCAAAGATGTCATTTTGAGGACTAAGGTTCACCTGACCCAAGCCTCAGCATTTTCGGTTGTCTCATATGCATGCAAAAGCTGGACAATGAAAAAGGAAGATCAAAGAATTTACACATTTGAATTACAGTGTTAATGAAGAATACTGAATATACCATGACCTGCCAGAAGAATGAACAAATCTGTCTTGGAAAAAATACAGACAGAACGCTCCTTAGAAGCAAGGATGGTGAGACTTCATCTTACTTACTTTGGACACATTATCAGGAGGGGCCAATCCTTGGAGGACATCATACTTGGTAAAGCAGAAGGTGGGCAAAAAAGAGGAAGGCACTTAAGGAGATGGATGGACACAGTGGGCACACACATACCTGCTATTGGGAGGATGGCACAGGCTTGGGCAACGTTCCATTCTACTATACATGGGGGGTTGTTACGAGTTGGAACCAGGTCAATGACAATTAACAAGCAGAAACAGCCAGACACAGGTCACATACTGTTTTGATTCTGTTCATATGTCCAGAATAGGCAAATCCAAAGTGTCAGTAACTTAGTATCTGTGAGGGGCTTAGGGGAAGTGGGAATGGGGAAGACTATGGATGGATACAGGGTTTCTTTTTAGGATGAAAATGTTCTGAAATTAGATAGTGGTGATGGGGGCACAACTCTGTGAATAGACTACAAACCATTGTGCTTTGAAAGTGTGAATTTCATGGTGTGTAAATTACATACCAATTGTTTAATAAGAGGAAAAAATCCAATTGCTGCCTGTACCTTGGCCTCAGGAGTCCCCGGGTGGTCAATGGTTAATGCCCTTGGCTGCTAACATAAAGGTTGGATGTTCAAGTCCACCCAGACGTGCTTAGGAAGGAAAGCCCAATGATGTACCGCTCAGACACCCGCTACTGAAACGCTAAGGTGGCCGGTTCTTCTCTCACACGAGGTCACTAGGAATCTAAACTGATGTGGCACCACGGCCTCAGGGAGGAGGTCCTGTTCCTCTAAAGCAAAGTGCCCTCAGGTTACCTAGTGCTATTCTGACAGGAATATACCACAAATGGGATGGCCTTAACAAACAGAAGTTTTCTCTTAAAAGGTCCAGCTCTGCCTCCATCTCCCGGCCCACTGGAGCTAGAGTCATTTCGTCACTCAGACAGCTGCTGGCTGCTGAGGCTGAGAAGCCCAAGGTTGACAAGTAAAAAGGCACAGTCCCGATATTACCAAACCACATGGCAAGCCATTAATTTAAGTCCATCATAAGTCTCAAGATCAGCAGAGGATGGCAGGCTGCTGAACAACGACATGGCTACATGCAGAGTCCAAGTGTGCCATAAGCTAGAGACCATTCCCAAAGCTGCTTCTTATATACGGGAAGCAGACCACATACCCAAAGCAGCTACTCAGCTGCTTGTGGTAGATCCCACCATGGAGTTGATTGCCAGTCTCATCATGGGGGGAATAACCACCACCAGCTGCCCAGCCACTCAACCAGGCCCAGCCAAGGTGACACACAAACATAACCACCACACTCAGTGTGGTCCCCAGACCTACAGAACCAGCATCAATTAGAGATGCAAATTCTCAGGCCCCAGCCCAGAGCTGCAGGCTGAGACTCTGGGGGTGGGGCCCATAGTTTGTGTTTTAACAAGTCCTGGGGCTTCTGATGCCAGTTCTTGGAAGCTCTGTTCTAGAGCAGGGAAAACTTTTTCTGTAAAGAGCCCAGTAACTGCTTAGGTTTTGCATGCTACGTACACAAGGTCTCTGCCAGTCTTCATTTTGTCTTTTTACAACCTGTTAAAAATGGAAATCATTCTTAGCTCCCAAGTATACCGAAATAGGTTGTTACTGTTGCGTACCCTCCAGTCAATTCCATGTCATAGCAACCCCATGAGATGCAGAACTGCACCATAGGGATTTCTAGGCTGTACTCTTTACAGGAGCAGAATGCCAGCTTTTTCTCCCGCAGAGCCTCTGGGTGGGTTTGAACTTCCAACTCTTTGGTTAGCAGCCAAGTCTTTTTACCATTGGACCACAAAAACAGATGTTGTTGTTGTTGTTTTTATGTGCCGTCAAGTCAAACCCGACTCATAGTGACCCCTCCTTGGGTTTCCAAGGCAGTATCACTACAGAAGTAGGATTGCCCAACCTTCCTTC